GTCAAGGGAATCTCGTGTTTAACCTTTACACGCTTATGAGCTCACTCGACTACCTACCTCCCCTCAAAAAGTACGTTAAGCTTTTGGGGGAGTGACAAAATGATACATCAAAATACTGTACATTCATATTATTATTTACATAATTGCCATTGACATACCCCCTTAGAAAAAAAGTACAAGGACCCGACCGAAGACATTTAGATGGCATGCTGATGGTGGCTGAACCGTCACACAAAGCCCAAGGGGCCCACGACTACGATCCCCATAAAACGATTCTTCGTGTTGACTCATGCAGAATGCCAAACAAAAGAACGAGGGAGAATAGGCAGAAACGCATCCAGATTCCAGAGCACATGTACTTGCATCTATCCCATCCCAACAACTTGCCAGGTGTCATCAGGAGAAGATCATGACAAATCACCCACTGGGTCCCACCTCGCTGGGTGTCCGCACCACAAACGACTTGATCACTTGTGGTGGGACCAACTTAGGCGGCAACTTAGGTCCCACCACAACTTAGGCCCCACCATCTGCTCTAACGTGGGCCCACCTCGCACTCGAATAGAATTGAATTTATAATACACACGATTTGTCTTCAATTGACATCCCACTTACCCAACGGAAGTCACAATTTCTCTCTGGGGTCTCTCCTCTTCCTCGGAAGAGACAGCTGAGAGCTTCCGGATTCCGCACCAATCGCTGACGCTGACCAGTTTCTCAACACCCAGAAAGCCAATTCACAGGATCCACTATAAGGGTTTTAGGATTACAGGTATTTCTGGATGCAATTTCATGCTTCTTCAGCGTGTATGCCTTGATTCTCGGGTTTCTTGTCAAAATATTATATTTCTCTGCATGTTTCAATTGGTTCTGTCTAGGGCTTAATGGCGTTGACTGTATTTTGTGATTCTGATTTGTTCTAACTGGTTGTTTATCTGTATCTGAATTGAAGAGTTACCGGGTTCGAGTGGTTTTTGGTAGAGCTTGATGGATAACAATAATTGGAGACCTGCTCAAGGTGAACCCGCCTTGCCCACCATGTCAACCATGGACAACACCGATTGGAGAGCCCAGCTACCACTAGATGCCCGGCAGAGGATTGCGAACAAAATGTAAGCTTTCTAGTTTTTTACATACATGAGACGGTGTTGGTGATGATAGTCAAATCCTTTATTATTATTATTATTATTTTCTTAGTTTCTTACCTTTTTTCTTTTTATGGAACAATATGTGATCACTTATCAGTGGAATATGTTTAATTTCTGATTTCAATTTAGTAGCTTAGTAATAAATAACCATCTTCAGTATGATATTCTTTCGTTATTAGTGAAGAAAAAAAACATAGTTTCTAGGACTTGGCTGCATCTTTGCAATTTTTCTTAGTGCTGACCATTTTTGCCTTTTTTAACTTTAGTCTTTTTTCCAATCTATTGCCCTCTCCAATTACTTGGTTGTTTGTCTCTGGCTTTATATTGACTTCCTGTACACTTCTGTGCATTCTCCTATACTGACTTATTATCTATAAAAAAAAAAGTTGCTTGGCAATTAGGCGAGACGAGCCTCCAAGGGTGCCTTGTCGCCTAGGTGTTGCCTTGACAACTATGTTCCTTAGCCCTTTTCACACCCTCCATCAAAGCCAAAATTTCTTCTCTTAGTGAGTCTCCATCATCAATTGGGCCAGAAAATAGAGCTATGATTGAACCTTACTTCGTCCTTAAAACACCACCAATCCTTGAAGGCCCTGGGTTACCTTTCACTGCTGCCATCAAATTTTAGCTTGATAAAACCTGCACAAGGTGGAGACCATAGAGGGTGAGCAATACATTTGCTTGAAGCTGAGGCTGCCACTTCCTACCAATTATTCAGTATAGTCTCTGTGGGAATGTCATTAAATATCTCCATTGTTTCTACCCAATGGACCACCCTATAAGTTATTACTTCTATGATTGACTATGACAGTATAGTCTCTGAGCTAAAAAAGTTCAGATGGCTGAATCAAGACACTGAAGTGAACATCATATGGGTGTCAAGGGATGCCAATAGCATGTCAGATGAATTAGCAAAGAAAGGGGTGGGGAGAATTCAAATGTTTAGGGCACATTTATAATTAACAAGAAGGTGGAGAGATAGCAGCTATTGCTAACTCTCCAATGGGTCTTGTACATATATGCTCTTTATGTTTGATAATTTATAAAATTGAATGGTTATTTATTAAAGAAAATATGCTTATAATCATGATTCACAATATCAGTGATATTTGGCGAAATTTCTCCGTCACCATTTTATTGGGGGTGATACGAAATTATCCGGGAATCTTTTTTTTTTCCTCTAATATCTCTGGTATATTGTTGATATTATCAGCAGTATTTCATGTTTCCTTGATAGACTATATATTCAAGGTTTAAAATTTTAAAATATCACTTTCTGATATTTCATTTAAATCATTATAATTTTTGAAAAAACCTGTTCCTAAAAGAACAGATGGAGCTTGCGTGATTGAATGATTTGTTTATTATTTTGATATGGTTCACAAGTCAATGTTCAAAAGAAAAAGAAAGAAAAAGAGGTCACACAACTACAAAAGGAGGATTCTTGGTCTGGTATCAAAACATATAGTAACCTCCCCCTCCCACC